AACGCTATGTGTAACACTGCCTTGTCCACATTTGGCAAGAAGACCAAAAAGACAGCCGACTGGTTCGAAGCCCATTCGGAGGAGTTGATGCCAGCCATCGAGGATAAAATGTCAAGCTGCATAAATGCATTGGCAAAGCAGCTACCATGTTCTCTAGACTCACAAAGAGAGTATAGCTCAATAAGAAGCTGACAACATACACCAAGATCCAGGTCCATAGAGCCTGTGTCCTGAGCACACTTCTGTACTGCACTGAGTCCTGGACCCTTCATGCATGGCAGGAGAGGAAGCTGAGCACCTTCCATATGCGTTATCTCTGACGCATTTTTGGTATCACCTGGCAGGACAAAGTTCCAAATAGAGTAGTCCTAGAATTTTTAGCATGTGTACATTACTGAAACAGTGGCGTCTACATTAGCTTGGGCATGTTGTGAAAATGGCTGATGGTCGGATTCCAAAAGATCTCCTGTATGGAGAATCTTTTGGAATCCGTCAGAAGTAGCCCTTGGCATCATGCTCCCCCGGAGGGAGACCACAGCTGCGATACAAGGATATCTGCAAGCGGAATCTGAAGGCCTTAGGAATGGACCTCAACAGATGGGAAACTCTGACATCTGAGCGTTCAGCCTGGAGGCAGGTGGTGCATCACAGCCTCTCCCAATTTGAAGAGACACTTGTTTAGCAGGCCGAGGCAAAGAGGCGGTCCTGAAAGCAGCAAAATCAGGGAGCTGGACAGGGGACAGATTGTATTTGTCTTCAGTGTGGAAGGGATTGTCACTCTCAAATTGGCCTTCTCAGCCACACTAGACGCTGTTCCAAGTCCTCCATACACAGCACGTTACCATAGTCTCTTGAGACTGAAGGATGTCTAATCTAATCTAATCTTGCTCAGCTAGCGATTTGCTTCTTGAGTTGTGGCAAGTTCTATCAACTCCTTTTGTTAAATGTTCTAATTTTTGTTGTACTGTGTACAGTACTTTTATTAAAATGGTGTTGGCTGCTCTGAAAGCACTAGTAGGGTATGTGCTGTTATAATAATAATGCAAAATAAAATGGATAATATAAAAGTTGTTTGATTTCTGTGGGTCTGTTCTAAGTGTAACAGCCTGTCTAAACTGATACATGGCTATGATATAGAGATGGCACTGTCTGGATTGGGGGAAAAGCACATGTCTGCAAGTCTTTGTAGTTAGAACAATCCATCCTTCTCCTTTGAGAGCTGTTGCACACCTTTCCAGCCTCACATTGGAAACAGCCGGTCTGGATAGGTCTTATGTTCAGATCCATCCTGTGAATTGCAAGTATCAAAACCTATATTTCCCCAGGAGAAGTGGCAGGCTTGTGGAAGGCATGAGGTCTGGCTCAACTTGCAATCCTGGAGCAGAGCTTGGGGACTTCGTTCCAGTTTGTTTTGACTACAGCTTATGGAAACAAACTCTCTCTCTCTCTTTCCATGTTGGCTAGGGCATTCTTGAAGTTGTGGTCTAAAAGTTTAACTTCCCATGCTTGGGAGGGGGGGCAGGGGATTGGCGATCTTTTCTACATGCAAGGTAGTGGGATTAATGTACACTTTGTACAAAGGCAACTGTATTTGAAAGTGACTGACTTGCTTCTGTCATTGTCTTTGTCTCTTCCCCTTCTAGTGCTCCGAGGATCGCGCCAGGTACAAGACCAATGCAGTTCTAATCTCTCTCTGGTTACCAACTGCATGGAACATGCACTGACTGCCGTGTACCCTCGCACACGCTACTCAGCCGGCTTGGATGCCAAGCTGTTTTATATTCCTGCAAGCTATATGCCAACACGCCTGATGGATCTGATACTTGGTTGGAATTATCCGAAACCAGAACAGAACAACTAGGACAGTCAAGATGGTTACAAAGGAAGAGCAGATTTGTATAGGCTCCAGGCTCACCAGCATAGGGACCCTTTAAAAATATTTTAGAAACTTCTAATTCTTACCTGGATTCTGATGTGTGTCAAGATTACTCGGTCAGAGAGGCCCGCAATTCATAACCATCCACAATTCCCTGACTTCCCTGATGCTTTATTCCAGTGGGTCTGCTGTAAGGGTAACAGCCTGTCTAAACTGATATACAGTATAGCTATGACATATGGATCGTCGATAGCACTATCTGGATTGGGGAAAAAAAGCATATGGGTAAAATACAGGAGGGCGAAATTTACTGATGGCTAGGGGAAATTTCCCTGCCTAGAACCCTCCCCACCACTTTAAATGTGCTACTTAAGCATGTCCAGGGAGTTGGACAAACAGATTCTTCCCTTCCTTCTCAGATTTTATTTTCTTAATTGGTTTGGAGTTTCCTTCCACCCATTTCCATCAGATACAGAGGGAGGCCATGACTTTCCAGGTTTTACCTGGCAAACAGCCTCAAACCAAGAATATATCAAGGTTTTATAGGCTGGAAAAATTACTTTTTTCACACCAAAGTTCCCAGAGTTGTAACCCACAAAAATGACTTTTCCAAGTTGTACACTGATTTATGCCAGATTGAACTATGTACTGGATTGTCTACAAGTCAGATCATAAGTTGAAAATGTGTATTTTGTAATTGAAGATGGCAAGGATTGAACCTGCAATTTTACCAAGTTTCTTGTTCCTGCTATGGTACTAGCTGGGAAGTTTTTTTTTTTCTGAACAGAAAGCTAAGTGGAGCTAGGCCTTAAAACCTTTCAGTTTAGGCCTTTTGTCCCAGGTGAGCCACATCTGGCTTGTCTGACAGGTAAAACCCCCAGAATGTTTTAGTTTGTGCGGTTTGGAATTTTAAACTGTGAGCCACCTGCTCAGAAACTTCACAAATAAATGTAGTAAATAAATAAGAGGATGTGTCCTTCTTATGGATCACTAGCTGAAGAGCAAGAAGAAGAATAAAAGGGGACTTCTGCCTCCTGCCAGTTGGAGGTATAAGAGAAGGAGAAGTATGAAGAGAGTATTATTGGACTTCTGAGCAATATTCTTAGATAAGCAATGTGGTGGTCGAACTGCCACAAGAGACAAATAACAATGCAATAACTTCAGTGTACAATAAGGCTTAAAATTATGAGTGGACAAAGAGCTCCAATGAAATCTTTCTTGAATTGTGGACCGGCACCAAAATGGCAAGTAAGGGCTCATCCAAGCTGTTAGGGGCTAGATCCTGCACAGATCGTATTACTGTTTTCTCCAATGTTTACATGGCATTCTTGCTCGTACAAATTTCACTCTATGAATGCAAATGCCAAACTAGATCAGTCCTGTATAGCATGGCCAAGTGTATCAATGGCTTCCTTATCACTGATGGGCATGTCTTCAGATTGCAGTTCATGATGCCACCAATGAGTAGTGGCAGGACGACAACTGTCTCCTGCCTCTCTTGTGTCTCACTGTTGCCATGGATAGCTTCTGATCTCAGCCCTTGACAATGGGAACCCATTTCATTCCTAATCTCCTTTGAACTCAGCTGTCTTTCACATCAACTCTCTGAAAAGCATTGGGGATACACTCAAAATGATCTTCTGTGCTAGATTTTGTTAGTTAGTTCCTTCTACCCAAGAAGCACTTGCTGGCTGAATGTGGCTATTTTAGATGAATGAGCACTAGATTAATGGTGAATGAATACATGAATGAACTTTTAATAATTGGTGCATTGCTTGATCTCCTAACTACTAAATAGTCAACACATTTTTGGGAGAAGGAAGAGGTCATGGACACAGAGGAGAGATGGGTGAACAGGGCAGAGAAATGGCAGAGGGGAAGGGGTGTCATGAGGAAGTGTTGCTGTTGGTCCCTCTGCATGTTGGCAGGAACATTGGAATTCACACTCAAGAAAAAGGTGTGAATTCTGAAAGTAGTGATTTCCATAAATTGTCCTGGAGTAATTTAATGGGTATAAGAGGAGGAAAACAATGCGCTGCTTTTCCCCCTCTGAAGAAGCTCCAAAGTTCAATGAAAACAAGTATAAAGTGACAGATGTAGGACAAAATATTCTAACTATACAGCTGCTAGTGTCAAAATAGGTGCTGCTTACTCAGGGAGGAGATGCTATCCTCCATGAATGGAATCAAGTGGTGGAAAAAGGAAGGATGGCAATGTGCAAAACTGGCTGTGTTCAACCAGAATTTGCAAGTGCTGTGAGAGCACTTAGCACTTCCTTTCACTTCTACACAAGAGGAAGGGGGAGGTGGAAAACTCAGTTCTCAGCCAAAGCACTCTTGAACTATTTCCAGCAGATACACATTTCTATCCTTATTGTTTTCATCTTTGCTGGAAAGGTATGCTCAAGTATTGTGTTTCCCCCAAAATAAGATAGGGTCTTATATTAACATTTGCTCCAAAAAACCAAATAGGGCTTATTTTCAGGGAATGTTTTATTTTTTCCCCATGCACAATAATATACATTTATTCAAATACAGTCATGTCGTCATCTTCTGGTTGCTGCACAATGGTGGAGGTTGGGGTTTCACTTAACTGGGGATTATTTTTGGGATAGGGCTTAGAATCATTCTGAAAAATCATACTAGGGCTAATTTTCAGGTTAGGTCTTATTTTCAGGGAAATGGTAGTAGTGCTCATTGTTATTGACTGAACACAAACATATAAACTGAGAAGCATAGGAAGTGTATAGATACAATGCATCCATTTAAAAATGCATGCTAATAAATAAATTTTTAAGGGATGCACTTATTGTTGGCCGATTCTCTTTTTCTGTATTGGGCTCCCTGACTGACACACAGCACAGTATTTAGAGCATTGCACACATCATGGAAAAAAAATTGGAAAGGCTGCAGGCCAATCACCTGTCAACCCATTTAAAAATGACTGTTGGATGAGTTATGGATATTCTACTAGATTTTCTTTTCTCCACTGAGTGCGGGTGATGGCTTCACCTCCAGCAACTTGATTCATCCAGTTCTACAATGAAGGCAGAGATTTTTTAAAAAAACCCTCAAAACATCTTGTGGAAAGCCAAACTGACACACATGCTGGGGGAATGGGAGGATCAGAAAAAGTACCTACTCTGTGCACTTAAGACTTCAAATAGGATTTTTAATGACTTGTTGCAATTACTTTTTATATCTCAAAGTGATCACACATATAGTAACCACGTGTGATTAAAAGATAACGTATGGGAGAGAATGCCACTTGTGGGCAAGCTTAAGAAATTGCCTCTTTGCACCCACTGAGTCCGCGCCCTTCAAACAACTCATAGCCTTGATGGTTTTGCATTAAAACAGATCTTTTCATCTTTCAAAGCTTTAAAGGTGGTAGGCACCTAATTCTTCTACTGGAAAGAGGCCATTTCTAAACATGTTGAGCCTGAGCTCCCTTTTGTGCTTCTGGCAGACGGAGTGATTTTGGCATCAGTTCCAGGACGTTAAGCACGCTTGATGTGTTTCAGGTGGGAATCTTTGAGACAAGGATTCTGGGGGAATGGAAACTGAGGCTGCTGCTGCCGAGCCAGATTTAGTTTCTCTGCTACAAGGAACAGGGCTGCCCCGAGCAAGGTCTTCCTGCCCAATTTTGCTTCACTGGACCAACACCTCCAGTCTGTGGCTGCCCTTCTTCCTGCAGACAGGCACTGGACCTTGATTCTCAGCAGCCTCCACCATCTTGACAGCAATGCTGCCTTGCTTGAACTTCACCACACATCTGTAAGAGAAGAAACCACTCCCACATTAGGAGAAGATGCATTCCTGTACTAACATGCCAAGCGAGAGTATAAGAAGCAGTGCTTATTCAGCAGACCTCTGGGCTCCAGACTTCAAGCCAACCCAACACAAAGGTGGTGAAGGTGTTGCTGGTGATCTTAAGCATTTTTTAGAAAGTTGCCCATGGTATGGCAGCTTCCATGTCATGTTTACTCAAGTGCCTACAACTGTTGGGAGCCAAAAAGTCAGGCAGGTTTTGCTGGGGAGTTTAACTATGCCAGCTTGTTTATCCTTAAATAGGACTGTTGTTTTGTTGTTGCTTACAGTCATGTGAAAAAAAGAGAGCACACCTTCTTTGAATTCTATGGTTTTACGTATTAGGACATAATAAAAATCATCTGATCTTTAGCAGGTCTGAAAATTAGGTAAATACAACCTGAGATGAACAACACCACATATTACACCATGTCATGATTTATTTAACAAAACAACAACAAAATGGAGAAACCATGTATGAAAAACTAGATACATCTTTTCTGACTCCATAGGAATTAAGAGGCTAAGCAACAGCCAGGTGCTTGTACAAACTGATCATCAGCAAGTGTGGCCACCTCTATAAAAGCCAAAGTTTTAGCAGTTTGCTGCTCTGGAGCATTCACGTGTGTGTTAACGCAATGCCAAGAAGGAAACACATCAGCAATGATTGTAGAGAAGCGATTATTGTTGCCCATGAATCTGGGAAGGGTTATAAGGCCATTTCCAAACCATTTAAAGTTCTTCATTCTACAGTGAGGAAGATTATTTACAAGTGGAAAACATTCAAGACAGCTGCCAGTCCTCCCAGGAGAAGACATCCAAGCAAATTCACTCCCAGGTCAGTCTGTGCAATGCTCAGTGAAATTGCAGAAAATGCAAGAGTAACATTTCAGATTTTACAGGCCTCAGTTAGCATGTAAAATGTTAACGTTCATGACAGTACAATCAGAAAAAGACTGAAGAAGTATGGCTTGTTTGGAAGGGTTGCCCGAAAAAAAGACTCTTCTCTCCAAAAAGAACATGGCAGCACAGCTTAGACTTTCCAAGTTGCAACTAGACAAACCACAAGACTTTGGAATGGACGAGACCAAAGTGGAGATGTCTGGTCATAATGCAGTGCCCCAACGGCAAAAACCAAACACAACATATCAGCACCAGCCCCTCATACCGTCAAGCACAGTGGTGGAGGCGTGATGATTCGGGCTTGTTTTGCAGCCACAGGACCTTGAAGTCATTATGTCGACCATGGTCTTCTCTGTATATTAAAGTATTCTAGAGTCAAATATGAGGCCATCTGTCTGACAGCTAAAGCTTGGCCGAAATTGGGTCATGTAACAGGACAATGATCACAAGCACACGAACATATCTACAGCAGAATGGCCAACAGGACAATGATCCCAAGCACACCAACATATCTACAGCAGAATGGCTGGAAAAGATAGAATCAAGGTGTTGCAATGGCCCAGTCAAAGTCCAGACCTCAACCCAACTGAAATGCTGTGGCAGGACCTTCAGAGAGCTGTGCATAAACAAATGCTGGCAAACTTCAACAAACTGAAGCAATATTGTAAAGAAGGGTGGGCCAAAATTCCTCCACAATGATGTGGGAGATTGAAAAAGTCAAACAGAAAACGATTGCTTCGAGTTATTGCTGCTAAAGGTGGTTCTACAAGCTATTGAATCATAAGGTGAACTTAATTTTTCACACACGACTTCTGTATTTTGGCCTTATTTTTGTAAAATAAATCATGACACAGTGTAATATGCCATGTGTTGTTGTTCATCTGACTTTGTATTTACCTAATTTTCAGACCTGATAAGGACCAGAGGATTTTTATTATGTCCTGTTATGTAAAACCATGGAATTCAAAGAAACTGTACTTTCTTTTTCACATGACTGTATCCATTACTGAAACCAAAAGTTCTTCACACTTATACACACCTGATGAAGTGGATGGTCCTGATCTACTGTACAAAAGCCTGCAGATTGATGATATTTTTAGTGGTCTATAAAAGTATCACCTATTCTTGTATTTGAAACCGACATACTGCCTTCTTGCCAACAAGAGAACAACAGGGCTTGAACTATATCAAATGGGGTTCAATAATCTGTACACAAATACATTTTGAAACAAGTAGCACCGCAGACTGAGCACAGCCACTGTACAATTGGTCAAGAAGAGCCTTAACAGAGCACACTGGACAACTGAATCAGGCGCAGGCAGACTTCAAATCTGTGAGCTCTGCCATTTCAAAATTGTCGCAATTCAGTTGGCATGAGGTCAGTTTGGTGCCACGAGTTAATAATTAAGAGTCAGTGCCAATTTACTACCATTCATCCAGAGATCAAACAAGAGGTTAAACTTCTGCCAACCCTACTATATATTATCAGGACAGAGCTGACGTGAGTGAAGGCCTCTGGTGGATTTGTGGTGGCATGGAGACAACTCTGTCTTTGCATCTTCTCCTCTGCCTGCCTAAATTTTCAATAGCTTCTCAAGCAATATAAGCAAAAGAACACAATTAGGGGAGAAAGGGTAAAGGGCATGTCCAGACTCGCCCTTTTGGTGTGGGCATGGTGCCATCCAAATACAGCTAGTTGAGGTTGGGGAGATCGGGGTGATGTGCCATTTAGCCTCAGCCTCATGTTCAAATGGCATAAAGAGAGAGAGAGAGGCAAGCTATGCAAGGGGAGAAAAAGCAGCCATTCAAGAGTAGATACCCATCTCCCTTTTGCAGTCCTGTTTGGCTAGACTGGGTTGGGGGAGGGGGAGGAAGAAGGAAAGGTTTAGGACATGAAGAGAAGGAGTGTACGCAATCTTCCACAGCTCCCCAATCTCTCTCTCTCTCTCTCTGCACACATATACATACAAAAGATAGGGATTGGTTAAATGCACAAAACAAATTAAAATAGTGTGTGTGCCTCTGAACAGCCAGCCACGAAATTAAAAGACGCCTGCTTCTTGGGAGGAAAGCGATGACAAATCTTGACAGCATCTTAAAAAGCAGAGACATCACCTTGCCAACAAAAATCCGTCTCTCTCTCTCTCTCTCTCTCCACACATATACATACAAAATATAGGGACTGGTTAAATGCACAAAACAAATTAAAATAGTGTGTGTGCCTCTGAACAAGAGACCTCTCCAACAGAGTCTCTGTGCCCAGGTAAAAGAGACTCTTCTCCACTGTGGATCCATGTGTAGTTCTCCATTTGCACTTTGCCTTCCAGCCGCGCTCACCTTTTCCGCCTCTCACTTGAAAACAGACAAACCCTCCACACACAAAAAAGAGGGGGGGGGAACCAACATGTCTGTCTTTGCTTTCTTGCGTGTTCAGTTTGCTGATACCCTGAAGTGGCTTTCTTAATTAAGTATTTCACAATACATTACTGGAGGTTCAAACCAGAAGGAGCTTTGCCAGCTTTAACAGACAGAATGCTTAATTTTAGCCTGTTCCCAGTGACCACATGTGCTTGGAACAGACTAGAGTGCACCAAAAACGTAGAACCCCCCCCCCGATAGAGGGTCAGAAAGGTGTGGGTTGGTGTACCCTAGGGATAAATTGGTCCACCCATCATGTGGTTCCTGGAAAAAAGAGTGGGCCAATCCACCCAGCAACACACCAGACAGGAAGACAGATGCCTGTGTTGACATGCTTGAAGTTCCACACAGGGGTGACTCATGAACCTTGTAGCTGGTGGGGCAGAAGATAACACAGGTAATGTTTGGCAGAGCCAAGGACAAAAATGGGTGCTCATACATACACACAAATGTGCACAGGCAAACAAGGATTCCAACACAGAGAGAGAGGCACGCATTCGGTCAGATATTCTTCCACCCCACCCCCACCCCATTTGTTTACCCTCTAAACCCGCCGAGAACAGAAAATAGACCTTGCCCCTGCTTTAGGTAAAGGTAAAGGTTCCCCTTGACATTTAGTCCAGTCATGTCTGACTCTAGGGGGTGGTGCTCATCCCCATCTCCAAGCCATACAGCCGGAGGTTTGTCCAAGGTGCTCATCCCCATCTCCAAGCCATACAGCTGGAGTTTTGTCCAAGGACAGTTTCCGTGGTCACGTGGCCAGCGCAACTAGACACGGAACACCGTTACCTTCCCACCAAGGTGGTACCTATTTATCTACTCGCATTTTTACATGCTTACAAAGTGCTAGGTTGCACTTGTTTAGACATCATCATATCTGCTGTGGCTGCTTCCTTCTACTTTGCTTAGCTTCAAACCTGGGTTACTGACTTCTCTACTCACCTACTCTTATTTTCTTTCTCCCTTCCCTCTCCACCAATGAGGAACTAAAACCTCGGCAGCTGGAGAACTCAGAGAGGTCTCTGAGAACAGGGAAGCAAAAGTGGTTTGAACAGGGACTAGGGCTATCACGGCTTCCCAGCACAGGCTCTGGGACTTCATCCAAATATCTTCTTTTCCCTCCCCTCCTCTGATTAAAAATATTAGCGCTGCCCTTACTCATCCATCACTTCAAGTTTCAGTTTTTGCTTTGTGGTCTCCAGCATCGTCTGGTGGAGCCGGGTGATCAGTTCAATCAAATGGTCGCTGATAAGCAGGAAGTCCCCTTTGGTACCTGCTGTGGAGCCCTGCAAAAGGAAAAGAAAGTCCACACAGGCTACGTCATGGAATAATTAGGCGTGTGCCAGAAAAAGAGAAGCCCCTCGCCCACACAGGCTACGTCATGGAATAATTAGGCATGTGCCAGAAAAAGAGAAGCCCCTCACCCGTGCCAGAAAGAAGCGGGACAAGGATGAGGCAGTGCCAGAAAGGAGCGGGACAGCTCTTAAAAGGGGCACAGGATGAGGCCATCTAAGCAGAAACATGTAGGGATGATGCACTTTGGTTGAAACCCAACCACACCACAGCGATCCAAATACCTATCCATATATCCCTCCGGACAGACCATTTCTGTCTCTCCGAAGAGGAGATTTCAAGCAGAGCAGCTGTGGGCTAGCGTAAAGCGCTAAAATATTTTGCTGATTGCTTCCCTCCCTCTGTTTTTCTTTCTTGACCTGTTTCTCAGAAACTTGGCTCCAGTATTAGAAAGAAGCCCTGTTAAGGGACAGGATGTGGACGTGTAGCTTTTACCATGGTTTCCAGTCACCCATCTTCCACTTCTGGTGTCACAGTAGTGTGAGAAAGGCAGATTGGTAAGGAGGCAGGCCAAGATAGGCCAGCAGTGGGTAGCTTATGGGAGAGGGATAGTACCTCTCTAGCCCTCATGGTCTAGTCTCTGTGGCCACTTCCATCACGCTCCACTTCTCCCACTCCCGCAGGCCTTGTGTGCAGCATCCCACTCCCTTTGCTGCCTCTGGCCCAGCCCGAACTTTTCAGTACCTCTTTGATATGCAGAACAAAAAACCCATCTGAATAGCGGCTGACAGAGACGCTGGTGATGTCACTCAGGTTGATGACCGTCTTAGGCTGAGCAGCTTTGGGGTCAGCCAAGACGATGTGGCTCTTGGTAAGAAGGAAGATCCGAGGAGAAGCCTGGAACAGGAACAAGGAGGGAAAGTGGCTGTTTGGAGCAAGAACTGGAGTGGAGTGGCCTGGGTTTAAGGAACTCACCACAGTGCTCTGCTTGTCCATGATCAACGTCTCATATTCGGGAACAGGGGTGGGACTTTTGGATTTCATCAATGACAAATCCCATAATTCTCCGCTCGGGAAGTTCTACTTGACAGACAGACACTTAAATGCAGCTCACTCCCCTGGGAGAAAGGTCTCAATTGGAAGGCTTTGAGGCTTTGTTAGGCCTAGGTCTACCCAGGCTTCCTGTTCCTGCTGCAGTGCTAGCTGGGAGCTTTCTTTCCAACAGGCAGCTAGTCTGAGCTAGGTCTAGCTAAGTCTCACAGCCTTCCCGTTGAGATCTTTCTCCCAGGTGTTTAGGTGTTTGTCTGTTGTGCAGAATTTCCAGAAGGGAGAATTCTGGGATTTGCAGTCCAAGACATAGGGAAAAAAATCCATCCCTATTCCGAAATACACTATCACTGAACAGGCAGGGTTTTAGGTATAGTTGCTGTGACTGATGAATTTTAACCAGGAGTATTATTATTCCCACAGCGCAGAGGAGAGTTGTTGAGGCTGAGATGAGCAACCTCATGTAAGCCACTCCTACTCCTTTTATCAGCAGGGCCTGGTTTTCAGGACTAAACTTCCTGTACCTGAAGGGCATTTCCAAACAAAAGGCTCATTGAATTAGTTATTAGAAGGCCCTGTGTAGCTATTCCAACTTCTCCTTAAAGGGCCTCAATAGTAATTTTAGAAGTTGTGGGGTAGGAAACAACAGGAAGAGTTATGAGTGAAGAACAGAGTAATCTGAAGTTCCTAGAAAATTTAGCAAAAGAGGCAGAGCCACGATGTGATAAGTGCTTTCCTCTGCCACCATTCCAAGTTCATCTTCAGGAAAGCATGTGTGACACCACTCTGGACCAGGATGAGCAAGCAGAAGATACCGCAAATCTTCCTTTCCCCAATAACTGAAAGGGTTTTTTTTTTAAACTGCCCTCCTTGCTGGTCCTGATCCATACATGTAGCAAGTAGCTTAACCTCAGAAATGAAGAAACGGATCTCAGCGGGTTCAACATGATGCAGAATGAGCTTTAAAGCCAAGGAGACAGTTTATCATGATGCAAAAGAATGAAATAGTTTAGTTTTTAGAGATCTGCAGGTTTTTCTTTCTTTTGATGCAAACTCCCAAAATTCTCTCGGAATTCCCCAGACAGAATTCCGGCAGTCCTTGCCCACAGACATCTACACCTGGCAGACATCTACATCTCACTCATCTGGATAAGAACAAGGCCACATTCTAAGCTTTCATTTCCTGCTGCAAGGCGTTCTGGTAGAAAGCTGCTGCAGTGCTTCTTGGGGAAATGAAAGCAGAGAAGAAGGTCTAGAGGGAGGCATCAGCTTTATCCAGGTGAGTGAAATGCAGGTGTCTGCAGTTTGTGGGCTGGAAAGCTCAGGATTCTGCCTGGGAAATACATGAAGAATTCTAGGAGTTGGAGTCAAAAAACAAGAATGAAGGGCACACCTGTATTTGCTTTGAACATGCTGAATGTGATCATCTCAGTAAAAGATGCATAATTATAATGGTTGAGCAAGCATGTGGATTATTCAATTAAGACTGGGTAAGTCCCTTGATCCTTGCTGAGCTTCATCTTCCTCTTGTCCACCAATGTTGCTGTTTTCACCATAGAAAGATCTACACCCAGAAAATCAGTTCAGGGCCTTCCAGTTATTGCATTCTCATTGCTTTGTTCTGTTCCCCTTTTTTCCTACTTTGTTCTGAAAGATTATGGGATTTATCCAGATATATCAGGATTTCACAATCACAAGCTGCACATGTGCACGCGCACACAAACACTCAAAATGCTTGAGCAATGGAAATGGTAAAGGAGAAACTGATCTCAATGGGAGGGCATAAACCCCATGTAGTTCAATGCAATTTGTTATATTATATACCTGGATGTTGGGGGGGCATCTATTAAAATCAAGAGTTAATTGGGAACTTAAAGAGATACAAATGCCTTATGTACAAGAGCTCATTGTAACGGAATACACATTGCTGGGGAACTCAAGTGGGAGAACTCGTTGCCCTTACTCCCTGTAGGAATGAATGCAAAATTCTCCCCCCCCTCACAAACATAAACACGTTTCTCATAGATGTTTCTGACCTTTCCATCGCCTCGGTTGACTTTCCTCACTCTGTCGGCCATAACCAGCTTGCCGTTGGCTGTGGTTTGCAGCTTACGATATTTGGGATTCTGGTCCACACCCAAGTTGTACAAGAGCTCATTGTAACGGAATACACGTTGCTGGGGAACTCAAGTGGGAGAACTTGTTGCCCTTACTCCCTGTAGGAGTGAATGCAAAATTCTCCCCCCCCCCACCAACAATAAACACTTTTTTAATAGAGTTTTTTGACCTTTCCTCACTCTGTCGGCCATAACCAGCTTGCCGTTGGCTGTGGTTTGCAGCTTACGATATTTGGGATTCTGGTCCACACCCAAGTATTCCTCTTTGAAAGGCTGTGGGAGGCTAGCAGATACACACACACACACACACACACAGAGGAAAAAAACACCAAAATTAAACAAAAGAATAAATCTGTAATCTGTCCTGATCTGGGCTGGGTTGATGCCCATATCTTGACTAGAATGGCATTAGCTCTTGCCTTCCTGCTTACCTCTTTAGGTACAAACTTTTCTTGCCCCGGAAAAGTTCACTGGCACACATCTTGTCTTGTAAGACTTCTTTTTTTTGTGGTGACAGCTGATCCCGATATTTCTTACACTATACCAAAAGAAGGAGAAGGATGATGATGATGATGATGATGATGATAATGATGATGATGATGCAGGGAAGGGAGGAAAGAAAGAGATGGGATGCAATTGTGTGTGTATGTGTGGAAGAAAACGTGAAGGAGAGATTGAAACTACAAGTACGTTTGCCTTTAGTCACATTTGCTTTACTGAAAATGTTGCCAGTTATGGATGCTACTAGATGTAAGGGGTTCACCAAACATTTTTATTCCCTTTTGGGAGATCCCCAAATCTCCTGACACAACTATCTCATTTTTCTCCAGTGGGGTCAGACTGGCCTTACTATAAGGCAGATTGCAGCAGCTGTCTCAGGCAGCAGATCCAGAGCGTCTAGAAAAGTGAGTCAATTGTGAAACATTTAATGTGGTGTTACAGTACATTTTACTGCCAGGGGCAGGGGAAAGTGCCTGCAGGGATCGGGGACTCAAGGCACAGGATTTGCTGTCAAGCTGGATTTAAGTTGCACCAGTGACTTGACTTGGACTCAGCTTGGGTTGTTGTTTTTTCCCCAATGTCTCGGACTCAACTAGAAACTCAGAACTCACCTATTCCCTCCCCTTTTTTTCCTTGGGGGAAAAATCTTGTTTTTAATAGGTACTCAAATTTGGGGATTTAGGACCTGGTATCAAAGACTCGGACTCACACTTGGGTCTTGGACCCGAAGACTTGCCAACATCCCTGGGTGCCTGTGAGGCTTTCCACCCCATATGCCATCATCACTTGATGTAGGTGAGTGAAGGCACGATTTGTTTACTCTGTCACTAGGCCTTTTGTAGGCCTTTCAGAGCAAAACGTGAGCTGGGCCTGGGAGATCCCCAGGTGGACTGGAACCTTCATCAGCTCTAGTCAGCAGAGCTAAGGCTGAGAGGAGATAGGAGGTGCAGTCCAGCAACCTTGGGTGTGTTCAGGTTAAAGGAAATGAAAGAGTCAAATGGATTAGAAAGAAATACTTTGTCCGCAAGTGTTTCTACTTAGAACAATCCATCCTTTCCCTTGATGAGCTATATCACAGCTTTCTGATCCAGTGGTACAGCATACTGTACAGTCTTTTAGCTACGCTTGTTGTTTAGCCTGGAGAGAGCAGCCTCCAGCAGCCTCTGCCACTGTGGTTGCAGATTTCACAAGAGCAGAGAGTAAATGGGGGTGGACAGGAATGAGGGAAGGGAAGTGAGGGTGAGGAGTGAGAAAACAGAACAGCACCAATAGTGGGAGAGAGGAGTGACATAAAAATTATTTCACTTCCTCTGACCCTCTGCAGACGATCAGGGGAAGTGTTGAATTGGATCCTCTGACCCTCTGCAGACGATCAGGGGATGTGTTGAATTGACAGCTGATTGGGCTACCAGGAATCATTTGCTGTTTGCGGAGGAGCAATTGGGCTACCAGGAATCATTTGCTGTTTGTGGAGAGAGGAACGAGCCAAATGGCACATTGCTCCTCCCCCTGATCTCAACAGATGCTTTGTAGCCCTATACACCCCATACCCGAACTGGACAATCTGGACAGATCTTTAGTTCACATAACATACATACTCGGAGCTAATGTAATAGGTGGCCAAGCATACAAACAGCCTGTAATTTTCCCCAAAAGGTCAAACCTTCAGATTAAGTTTCATTCTGAAAACAGAAAACTTAAAATGAAGCATAAATACCACTAACCCTCCAATGGTGGAAGATCTTCTTCAGTTCTTGGTTGGTGTCTGTGAAAAATTTGTAAGGGGCAGGTGGCCAAGCATGGTCAGTCACCGTCATCGAAGGGAGATTGTTTTTCAGGCCCAAGAGAAATTTTTGCACCTGTAAGATGGGAGACAGAAAGAAAATCCTCAAATATCTAAAGTGGGCCACCTGTGACTGATTTTGCCCACAATAACATTTGCAAGAAGGTCCAAAGTTCAGTCATATGACTTCAGTCTTTTCACATGACGCAAGCCCTGATGCACTTTTAAGAAGCCTGCACTGGGACCATTAGCATAACCCTATCAGGGCTTCCGTCCCAGCTGGCTAGTGCTGAGAGGCTTCCCAACCACTGGAGCTGCCTCTCAGGCAAGAACAGTGTCACTGCCTGGCCAGAGAGATGGGGAGGTTTTCCCAGCCACCTCAGCACTGACTGGCTGGCAACATTGTTTTGGCCAGGGGTAGGGGCAGCTCCAGCAGCTCCTTCTTCCCCACATGGCATGGGGACAAGGCTGCCTCAACCCCAACGGTGTCAGCAGTGGCCAGAGGCCTCCTAGCATTGGCTAGCCTGTGGGTCAGGGACTGCTCCATCTCACTGCATCCATGTTTTCAGATAACCCGCAGCAAAAAAACCTACTGCACGTTATCTGAAACATGCAGTTCCTGCCACTGTGGCTGCTTACTGCTGTTGCTGCAAATCTCTACTCTTTTCTCTAGATTTAAATATGTAGAGTGGGCTGTTTGAACAAAGAATCTGAATCTTGCAGCTTCTAGCTCTAAGATTTTTCTTTTCTCCTTTCCCATTGTCAGATAACCCAGGAGAGAAATCTTGCAGGAAATCTTGCCCACCTCTATGAAGTCTTGGGGAATATTTCTTCTAATGTGCAGAAACTGAATCATCCCTATCCTGTGCTAGAATTAACTTATTTTCTGCTGGAATTTGCAATTTCTGAGTAGGAATTTCTAAATCCTGCAGGATTTGAATTGCTGAAAACAAGAAGCCTGTTTGAAGGGATGTGAGTGAATCTCACTTAGTCAGGCCGAGCCTTCTGGGGCTTTCCCTGCACAATGAAACTGGAACAACCACCAAGAATGAGACATCTAATGACAATTTGTTACATCCCTAATTGAACCCATTGCAAATAATATCATGCAACTGATACAGATAATGTCCTCCCAGACTAGGAAGCCTTTATGGCGATGTGGCATCAGTTTTATTATGAGTCTGATGACATATCTATGGGCCAGGGTATGAGATAAAACATACACCCCTACTCGTGAGATTGCCATACGTCCTACATTACAGAGGACAGCCCTCCATTTGAAAGGCATTCTAAAGGAAACAGACATGTATTTGCAGATGTTATTACCAGGGAGGAGCCTTAAAAGTTACCATTCCCATGTCATCTTGAGAGCAGGTTAAGCAGGGACACAGGTCAGAGCCATGGGCTGTATTTTTGTTAAGTTATAATTATTTCCAAATTTGAATCTATTGGCATCAGCCTTTGCCTTACGTTATGAACCATGTTATGTTATGAACCAGTTATGTTCTGTTCAGTTATGTTCTAAATGTTATGAACCAGTATAATGCAGGTCCTCTTTCTTCTCTTGTTTTTGGAAACACAAAAGGGCCGCTCTATGCTATGAGGATATCTGTCTGAAAAAATAAGAGTGGCTTCCCAAAATACATACTTTTGGATCTCATATTCCAAATCAAATGCTTCATGATTTCAGACTTGTAGGAGAAGTGCAGAAAGTGGCAACAAATATGATCAGCAGCAACATCGCCTGCCTCCCAACTAGAATTGGACTGTGTGTGTGTCAGATGCTTAAAAAAGAAAATCTTACAAGGTTTTCCTAACATTTCACCAGAAACTGTAAAACAAGCCCATCTTAAGCATCACACATACAGTATTCCTTCTTGAAGGCAGCAGAAGGCATAATGGAAGAGAGGCCTTAGACCCAATTACAATTCCACCATGCTCTAGTATAAGGAGGGGCTGATCTGCCAATTTCATTTTCTCTCGTATTCATGTGTCATGAAATGTTGGTGGGTTCCGAGCAAAAAGAGGAAAGTTAATAGAAAGGGGTTAACAATTGAATTAACTATCAGCAAACCCAGTATGAATGATCTCTACTTAAGGAAAGAGTAACATTTCAGTTACTGAGAAGTTCACTCCATCCCAGCTTCCAGTCTCCATCTGGCAGGGATCCAGAAAGTCTGATTGTATTTTAGCTTCTATTTGCTGTGCGTAGACAAACACCTTTCCTTTAGCTCCCAATCCCCACCTCAGTCAGTCTTGATTTGTAAAGTCTGCCCTCTAGTGTCCTAGAAGTGCATTTTTCCTCATTTCTAATGTGTCACAGAAGTGAGTACACCCCCTCACATTTCATAAATTTTAGTATATCTTTTCATGTGACAACACTGAAGAAATGACACTTGGCTACAATGTAAAGCAGTAAGTATACAACTTGTATAAGGTGCTGTTCCTTCAAAATAATGCAGCACACAGACATTAATGTCTAAACAGCTGGCAATAAAAAGTGAGTACACCCCTAAGTGATAATGTCCAAGTTGAGCCCAAGTAGCCGTTTTCCCTCCCTGGTGTCATGAGACCCATTAGTGTCACAAGTCTCAGGTGTGAACGGGGAGCAAGGATTATCGCTCTCGCTCTCTCAGACTGGTCACTGGAAGTTCCACATGGCACCTCATGGTACTGAACTATCTGAGGATTTGAAAAAATGAATTGTTGCTCTCCATAAAGGTGGCCTAGGCTATAAGAAGATTGCCGAAACCCTGAAACTGAGCTGCAGCACAGTGGCCAAGACCATATAGCCGTTTAACAAGACAGGTTCCACTCGGAACAGGCCTCGCCATGGTCGACCAAAGAAGTTGAGTGCCCGAGCTCTGCATCATATCCAAAGACTGGATTTGAGAAACAGATGGATGAGTGCTGCCAGCATTGCTGCAGAGGTTGAAGGAGTGGGGGTGGGGTCAGCCTGTCAGTGCTCAGACCGTACGCCGCACACTGCATGAAATTGGTCCCCAGGGCTGTCATCCCAGAAGGAAGCCTCTTCTAAAGATGATGCACAAGAAAGCCCATATACGGTTTGCGGCAGACAAGCACACTAAGGACATGGATTTCTGGAATCATGTCCTGTGGTCCGGTGAGACCAAGATAAACTTAATTGGTTCAGATGGTGTCAAGCGTGTGTGGCGGCAACCAGGGGAGGAGTACAAAGACAAGTGTGTTATGCCTACAGTCAAGAATGGTGGTGGGACTGTCATGATCTGGGGTTGCATGAGTGCTGCTGGCACTGGAGAGCTACAGTTCATTGAAGGAACCATGAATGCCAACGTGTACTGTGACATACTGAAGCAGAGCATGATCCCCTTCCTTCAGAGACTGGTAACGACCCCAGACACACCTCCAGAACTACCACTGCCTTGCTAAAGAAGCTGAGGGTAAAAGGGGATGGACTGGCCAAGCATGTCTCCAGACCTAAACCCTATTAAGCATCTGTGGGGCATCCTGAAACGGAAGGTGGAGGTGCGCAAGGTCTCTTAACATCCACCAGCTCTGTGATGTCATCATGGAGGAATGAAAGAGGACTCCAGTGGCAACCTGGAACTCTGGTGAACTCTAGGCCCAAGAGGGTTAAGGCAGTGCTGGAAAATAATGATGGCCACACAAAATATTGACACTTTGTGCCCAATTTGGACATTGTCACTTAAGGGTGTACTCACTTTTGTTGCCAGTGGTTTAGACATTAATGGCTGTGTGTTGCGTTATTTTGAGGGGACAGAACATTTACTGTTATATAAGCTGTTATTATAAGCTGTATACTCACTGCTTTACATTGTAGCCAAGTGTCATTTCTTCAGCGTTGTCACATGAAAAGTTATACTAAAATATTTATGAAATGTGAGGTGGTGTACTCACTTCTGTGATATACTGTAGCTACTTACAGCGATGTACAGATCAGGATCCTATTGGGGATTTACACTGGTTCAAGTGTGTATGTGTAAATCACAACAGCAAATTGCCACTAATTAACAAACTCATGCTTGCATTCGAGTTCACATTCCAACCATACAGGACTGTTGTGTCCCTCAGGCCCCCTACATCCCTCAAGGGTCCACAGTCAAATGGGCTGTACAGAACAAGCAACTGTTGACCTACACTGAAGCTCACCAAAGTCACCACATCCTGGCCCCTTTATACCTTTTCAGCAGCTAGCACACACCCCCTTGGCATTCCTTCTTAATCAGCAACATGTTTGACAAATAACTCTGTAATTAGTACAGTACACTGGTACATTATGCCCAAATTGCCTATGTCACAGAAACACAATCTGCAGACACAACCTCTGTCTTTAGAAGAAGGGGGAAAGTCCATTTTGCATTGTTCTGGAAGCAGATTTGAAGTAGAAGCCCCCCAGCAGCATAGCAAGGGAAAAAAACACTTTGGGAGCAAAAAAGGGCTGGTCTGATTTGAATTAGGCTTTGAATCATGTAGACTGTACAACATACTTCAAATTCACCTGTTTTATAAGCAGAGCAGATCCTGCAGTATTTAAGCATGTAGTTGTACTCTAATCTAGATGAAATTAACTTTTTTTTTGAAGCAATGTTTCCTCTAATTTTCTGCCAGCACTGGGCAGGCCCCCAGACCCCTGCGTGTAGGGTTCTGCCCACGACCGGAACCAAACGGGCAGCGACACTGGCTGCAGACATGCAGCTTAGAAGGAATGTTGCTCGGAAGCCAATACATCCATTGCCTACTCACCCAGATGCCTGTAGCAACACTTAGTGTTTCATTTATTAAGCCTCCAAAGCAAAGGCCAACCAGATGCCTCTCAGAAACCCACTGATGGAAAAGCTCTTTCTTCTCGTTATACCTTTCCCCATCAAATGCCAGGAAAAAAATTGCTTACCAGGCTCCCATAGATAAACTTGGTGATACGCTCAGAGGCTCCAGAGCGGAAATACTTCTTGTATTGTTTTCGAGTCTGTGGGGAGACAAAAATCTTGCTTAGAAGCATGTCAGTGCTTGGGTCACAGGAGAATACAGGAAGATGCCTTCTTTCAAGGAAAATGTTTACTATATTTTGGACATGACAGTCCGTTCTGTTTGGCAGTGCTCTTCAAAGAGACTTTCCCCTGAGAACCACTGATACATGGACATATCACATATTGACTTTGGGACCTCATACATGTATAAGCACCCTTCCTTCGCCTGATGCCCTCTCCAGACATGTTAGATATGTCCTTGTTACAATGTAGAAAAATCCACTGGAGACAGGAGAGATTATGGGACACTTTCTTGTTGGCCACTGAAACCCAAATTCAAGAGGTTGGTATCATAGACCAAAACAGAAAACCTCTGTACTTTAATTATGGATGTTGCTTCTAGTGACATCTTTGGTATTACGTATTACCCAAAAGGCAAAGTAAGGGTGGACATCTCCTGTAAGAGATGAAGCAGTCAGATAATCTAGAGGAAATAAGGTGCTTCAAGGAATTCTCTGTGTGAATCTGTGCTACAAAGTGAACTGGATGTTAAGCACCAATCCCATTTGGGAGGCCACCTATCCTGCTTTACAGGTGACAAGGCTCTGGAGGCATCCTGTCATGGAAGAGCTGTCCAGTCTATGCCAGCTTTAAAAATCTATATGACGGAAGCATACTCGTCATTTAGTAACTGGGCAGGAGACTGAACAGGTGCAAAGTCACCTGGTTACAGTTTTCTCTCATGAAAATATGTATGATGTTTCTATTTAAATCATAGTGCTTTCACATGTGTACATCTATCGGTCAATGTTTCATGCAAACACATATCCTCTTCTTTTTTTCTGATGACACATTAAGTGGACACTGACATTATCCATCCTGGAGACACTATGGGAATCAGGATTCATGATGCAGGGGGTGGGGCATAAAAGCTTTCAAATAAAATAGCCAGCATCCTCAAATAATTATGACTCTAGGATGCTTTGTGGGAAGTCACATCAGTTAAATTAATACAAAAGCAATAAAAACATGCTAATGCTTGTTGAGACCTTATCGCTACTCAACCAAAAGGTTTTTGGAGGACCGTTCTCCATTAGCTCTCTTCCTTTACTCCACATTTTCATTTCAAATGGAACTGGATTTTGGAGAACAGGGAAACAAAAGAAAATCTAGATGCAGAAGCAGGAAAAGACAGGCAGGCTATTCTGAGCTGATTTTTCACAACAGAAGTGAGACCCACAGTGGGTATCAGAATAATTAGGTATAATTTGTATTCAGGTGAGTGATCAAAGAGAGGTGTGTGTGTATGTGCAGAATGTCCTTGTTCTCAAAAAAGATACACCTTTTCCTTAGAATAGTATTATTTTCTCAGATGTATATTTACACCACAGCAATCAACCAACCAACTAGAACCCATATGGTTAAATTATCTTTGTTAATAACATTTTAGAAAACTTTATTAGTAAGCCCTCTTCACAAAAATCAGAACTTGGTTTCCACATTATTATGCATAATACACAGTATTATAATTTGCTTAATAACATTTTTAAGTACTGAAACCAAAATATATTGCTAAATGTAATGTAACAACTGGTAACATGCTTATCCTTCCAATAACTCATGTTTAATTCTCAGTTCAAAAACTTCAGCATTTTTCTCTATTCTGATCATTTTTTTAAAAAAAGAACTAAAAACTAAAAAATAACAAATTAATAGCATACTACTAATGTGTCATTAATTTTAAAAAATAATGCATAACAAGAAAGGCAGGACCTTTCTTCTTCTCTTTAAAAATACCTTTTAAACTTCCTAATGTTCCAAGCTCTGAGAAGAGAACTAAAAACTAAAAAATAACAAATTAACAGCATACTACTCGTGTGTCGTTAATTTTAAAAAATAATGCATAATGAGAAAGGCAGGACCTTTCTTCTTCTTTTTAAAAATACCTTTTAAACTTTCTCATGTTCCAAGCTCTGAGAAGAGAAGTCAGAAGTAGACTGCAACTAGGAAGGGCAGCAATGAAGGAATCAGAAAAAATAATAAAACACAAGGACCTGTCACTAGAGATTAAGCTAAAGGGCAGCAATGAAGGAATTAGAAAAATAAAGGACGTGTCACTAGAGATTAAGCTGAAGATCATCCACACTTTTGTACTTCTGATCACCATGCATGGTGTGAAAGCTGGACAGGAAAGAAAGATGACAGGGGGAAATGGATTGGTTTGAAATATGGTGCTGGAGGAGTTTTGCTGATACCCTGAACTGCCATAAAAAGGAACAAGTGGGTCCTCAATCAAATCGAGCCTCAACTATCTCTGGGGGCAAAACTATTGAAACTAAAGTTGTCCTACTTCAGGCACAAGGTAGGATGCTCTGGAAAAGAGAATAACGCTGGGAAAGATGGAAGGCATCAGGAAAAGAGGAGGACTAAATGTGAAATGGACGGACTTCCTAAAGGAAATCACAGGCTTGTGTGTACAAGAGCTGAGCAGGGCCGTTAAGGACAGGACATTTTGGAGTACACTGATTCATATGGTCACCATAAGTCGGAGGTGACTTGATAGCACATATCAACTACAAAGCTCTGAGAAAAGGAGAACGTCAAGAGTCATTATGTGAGCTCAAGCTGTGGTAGAGTGATGCCCAGGGGACACCACACGGTGGTTTAGTTGTCCCAACTGTGAGAGTCAGACAAATTAGTAAACCTCAGTGGGTGTGAGGGCCATAGTATCTACCAGACACATGTTGCCAACATGCAACTGTTACCTGATAACCTTTCCAGTGAGCAGTAATTATGGTGGCAGCCTGACTGCGGCATTTCTGTTCCTTCAACTGCCGTAGGAGCTTACGAGACTGTGGAGGAAGGGAGGCGATGCGTAAGAACCCCAGAGCGACTTGAGAAAATAACGTCATTGAAAAAATAGATACAGTAGTTGCATCTTAGCAATTAAGTAGACGAAGATTAGACAAGCAGCCTGCGAATTCTCACACCACAATCAGAGGAATCAGAATAAGAGCAGCAAGAAACAAAGTAACAGGGTGAACAGTGTAAACAGACATACCACCCCAGAACATCAACAATGGTTATATAGGTTTTAACTAGAGGAACCTCATGGCACAGTGGTTAAAACGCTGTACTGCAGCTAAAACTGTGCTCACGACCTGGGGTTCAAATCCCAGGTAGCCGGCTCAAGGTTGACTCAGCCTTCTATCCTTCCAAGGTCGGTAAAATGAGTACCCAGCTTGCTGGGGGGGGGGCAATGTGTAGGCTACATAATTAACTTGTAAACTGCCCAGAGAGTGTTTAAGTGTTAAGGGATGGTATATAAGCAGCACACTTTTAACTATAAATGGCTAACTGTGGGTGAGAATAGTGTGTATTGATTTTATGAGTAAATGAGCACACCCCAGTGGGACTGAGAGCCATAGTATCTATCAAATGCATATGTCACTGAAATGTATCTGTTACCTGATAACCTTTCCAGTAAGCAGTAATTATGGTGGCAGCCTCATTGCGGCATTTCTGTTCCTTCAACTGCCGTAGCAGCCTCCGAGACTGTTGAGGAAGGGAGGCGATGCGTAAGAACCCCAGAGAAGCCCAGACATTGTGGGTGGATTCACAAAAAAAAATTTTCACTCCATAGTCACATGTTTTGAAGCAGTTGGATCAATCACCTTAAAATTCAAATTGACTGAGGTGGGCAGCGAGGGCAAATGTTCATCTATGAGACTAGGAAAGGTATACAGTGCCTTAATTTACCTTCGAGGCCTGTTTCTTTATGATATGTAACAGGGAAGACAGGAAATTCATTGCCTCCCTTCCCTCAACAATAAGTGCTATTTTTGTAATCAAAAGTTAACAGAGTAAAAAAAAGCAGCACTTATTGTTGAGGGAAGGGACGTAGTTAATTGTCTAATTAGCTTAAACACCACCTGCCACTGGATACTATTGTTCTCCACAATAATAACATATCAATACATGACGTTCATTTATTATTTAAACATAATGGTCAAAATTCTGTTGCACAGTGATGCAAATATCATAACATTTGGAGGTAAATTGCATCAATCACATTAAGATGTCATCAATTCAATGCTAAGTCACATATTGCCCTATGCAATAGACGATGGCTATGGTGATTTTATAACTTAAGGCAATTTGTCTCTAAAAGTTCCACCACTTGTAACTCTTGGAGGTATTGGGTTATGCCAGAATAACGTGGCAACAGGATTTGGGCCATTATATCAAAACTGAATATATCAATCAGTTCAAAGAGGAATTATTAATTAATTAAAACTACTGTAGTAGGGTGTCAGTTCAAAGAGGAATTATTAATTAATTAAAACTAGTAGGGTCCAGAATGCTCCCATGGGAGCATCTAATGCAATGTCTTGAGACACAGTCCTTATTACGTAGGCATCTGAATTCACCCAGAGGCATACAGAAGCAAATAAGCAGAGAGTAGGTCCCAGCAAGAAAGAAAAAAGAACATTTCCCAAATTCATTCACAAAGAGGAGAGCAGCGAAATCCTGTAGTCTCCCTGCACTGTAGGCAGGGTAAGCGAAACAAAGGCAGAATTCCATGTTTTGTTGTGGGAGTAGGGTGAAGTAGAAAGGGTGGAGTAATGGAAGGATGTGTTTCAACTCTCTGTCAATTTTGATTGATATCCACCTCTTTTGCTAGTAGGATGCAAAGCCTGTTGTAGACACTTCCAACCTCTAGAACACTGAGGATGCTAACAAAGCCCCTCTTCTCCATCATCCCAAGCTGCCTCTATTCAGCACCTCTACCAGCAGTGCTGGACCAGCAGTGGGGTAACATCAACACACGCTGATGTAGGGGACTAAAACTCTCCAGACTTATAACTGAATTATTTCACTGTTGAATTATGACTCAACACAGGACCTTACCTGGCCTGGATACAGAAAGAACTGACAGATTGATGGCTCTTTCTCAAGCACTCCAACGCTGAGAAAGAAGATTAGGCAACCTTCTGTCAGATATACTTTGATTTGGAGTCTTGCATTGAGCAGGGGGTTGGACTCAATGGCCTTATAGTCCCCTTTCAACTCTTTTATTCTATGATTTTATAATTCTAAGACACCCATGCCCCTCATCTGTATATATTGTTCATCTAGTCAGAAACCTAGACTGTTCTATTGGGGGGGGGGTGTCATTTTTTTTGCTTTCAGCGCGATAATCCTGTTAGCCACACTTCATCCATTATCCATTCCCCATATGACTGTTAAGAGAGAATAGTTTTGTTACACATTTTTAACATCACTATAATTTCAAAGGACCTAGTACTGGCCTGAAATACTTCACAGTCCAGACACACGCAGCATGCACAAACAAACTTCAAAATCCAGGCAATAGTGCGTGCACACCTCTGTCAACCCTCATCTGGAACTTTAGCATCTTAGCCCTTTGTCTTAATTTGATTGCAAAGGATACAGATGTTCCAAACAATTGGTTACTGAATAGTGTGCCCCCTTTGGAAGCTCTTGTTGTGTGAGTAATGATTCTGTAGGAGAGTCAGGGCATGACCATATGCCATAGGCTGCCTGGGATTGACACAGTCTTCTATATACTGCACCCTGGCAGTTAAATCGTTGTTGTTCACCTAGAAATGTTTTATTATCCAAAGAAAATTCATTTCAAGTGTCCACAAGCCACAGAACCATCCCGTTCTCTCTCAGCATTCTTTGTCATATCACCACCCTCTTACCTGCCCCTTTTGTTGACATTTAGATTCCTTCTTTTAAAAAAATGTTTAGCAAGTGAAATAGCACTCAACTGACAAGGCACAGTACTGTATTTGAATTAGTGCTGTACAGGTTTAGCACTATAGCACTAAACTAGGAGGAAAATAAATATTTTAAAATACTATTTACAAACAGCATTGCAATGTGAGCAGAAGGCAGAAAAAGGAATAGGGTTCGCCCCCATACCTCACACCACTCTGTGCACCATCAATTATGTGCTCTGGACAGACCTACCAACTGCAACAAATAACTAATATATGTGATCACGTTACCAAAACCAAGACAAAATAATGTAGACAGACACACTACACAAAAAAAAGCATGACAGTTGAACAAAATGTACTGCATACTCCTGCCAAAAGAACAGACCTACTAATGATTAGCACTAATGTTGTAGCCACCTGGGAAAAAATATTGAAAGGAAGCAGAGCACAAATAGTGGGACAAATATCCATCTAATCATTCCTTAGTGTAAGTAAAAGAACCTTCAATGTTTGTGCAAATTACAGGTGCAAATTTGGTACTGGGAGGCCCAGTTGTATGCAGCTTCCTGGTGTCACAGTCCTCACCTTCCAACCTCGGACATAGGCCTGGATAAGAAGAGCTGACGCCTTCATCTGTCTGTATTTCTTCTTTTGCTGCAAAAAAAAATATTTCTCTTAGGAAGGGAAAAAACAGTCCCACTTGATCAGCACAAAGAGAATCCAAAGCTAGAATCTTGTCCATCTGCTTTGTGACTCCATTTTGCTTCTGCCTATGCAGAGGAATTCTGAATAAAAGATGGTTACTCTGCCAGTTACAAGAAGATTACAAGAAGCAAAATGTTCATATTGGGGTGCACTAATTATGCAACATGGAAATGAAATATATATACTGGCCAGTATCCTATTCTAGAGAGCAGACCCATTGAATCAACTACTTGAATGGTAAATCAACATTGTGTAAATTCCACTGAATCAATGAGTCTGCTCTAGGCAAAAGGACAGAAGATTAAATGACAAAAAAAACCCTCTCTGATATGGCAATATAGCATAAAGATCTGATCATTATCAAAATCTATGCACTTTCAAACATGTTAATAAAGAAAATATCCAGAATTATCACAGTAAAATCCAGAGTAAGCTACTCTTCCCTATAAATATTGAAGAAGGAAAAGCAAAAATTACAGCATAGAAGGTGAAACTTTTTAAAAGGTTAATGCATAAAGTCCACAACTAGATGGTCTTCCATCTATTTGTTATTTTAAACAATTATATTTTTTTAAAACCTCTAAATTGAATGAGTTATTTAACAATGTCCAATAAATATGGTCAAAATATCCACATTCTTGGTGATCTGTTACAATTGTGTCAACCCCCAAATCCAGAATAGATGGTACAGAAATAGAGTTATCCTGCCTAATCTCCATGCTGAGTAGAAATTGTCTGGTGCAGTTCTAGCAGGGAGACTGAACAGTATCAGTTCCATTTATAAACATCCAGATCAATTCAGATTAATTCATGGTCACTATAGTTGAGATCTAATTATTACAGGTCGCCTAACACTGTGATGCATAGCATGTTTTTTAGAAAGTCACCTGGAACATACACTTTAGATGCCTAGAGGGAATTTTAATTCCCTTGAGTGGGTTTTTCTCACTAACAAAAATAAATACATAAATAAAAAATACTATTCCTGGGCAAACTGTTTCTCTCCAGCTTCCATGAAGATTGCAGAGGTTCAGATAAAAGTTCTTTAAGAACAGAAGACTAATTGACACACTCTTTTCCAGAACATCTAAATGAAATCTGTGGAATCTATTTCCTGTTGCTAGATCTATATTAGATATTTATAGACATTGGCAGTGTAAAATATCTTCATTTCTGACACTTTTGACACCTATAGGATATTGCTAATCATTTTGGAGTTACTTGGAGGAATGGAACGGAGAATATAGAGAAAACGTAATCAAGCAGCTACACCAACCCTTGTATCTGCATAAGATAAACTGGTTTCAAATCAAATGTGTCATAGAATAGAAATAGACAATACCTAGAGTACATGATCTCTTTCTTAACAATACAAAACCCATACAAAACTATTTAACAAGAGCTGGGGGTTAGATCTATGGGAATGACAGCTGAGCCAAAATTTGTTCTCAAAAACATTTTTGATCTGTCTCAACTCAGATTTGAGAACATGTGTTGAAAGTACTGCATAAATGGTATAGAATACCAATTCTAATTTCAAGAATTAAGGGCTCAGGATCAGATATATGTTGACGGATTGTGGATTTAAAGGCACTCACTGGCATACTGTATGTGGTATTTCAAGGATTTTGTAATCTTTTAAGGCAAATTAACAATTTCTATTTATTAAAAGGCCTTACAGTGGTGTGTATTTGATTCTGTTTTGTACCAGTTTGTCTTGTAATAGCCCACAGCTGGAAAAATGATCATAAAGATTTTTTGTGTTTGTAGTAATGAAAAATTTGGTTTATAGCCATTATGAAAACACTATCATATAATATGACAATAATATGGAGGAGGGAAAAGTCAAGCCACATAAGTTTACTTCAAGGTGGCAGCCTTTTATATAATATGTGCATGATGAAAATATGAATACTGTATTATGATTGCAGTCAATTATGGAGTAAAATGGTAGTATTATTTGAAAAGGAATGACTAATTGGTTTATCTGATGTTTTCCCTGATTAACTGGATTTATCAATAAGATGGCAGAAGATTGTAAGTAAAATTTAAGTTCTGTTATACTCTTAGTTGTTGCATTATTAGCTGTGCTGAGAAGCAGGGTTGGGAAGGGAAGAATTTATTTTTTACATGAGGTTTAAAAACTTAAGAAAGTATTTTTAAAAGTCCAAAACCAAGCTAAAACATCCCTAACCTGAATCTGAACATTTTAAAAACCTTGTTAATAGTGTGCCCCCTTTGGAAGCTTATTTTAATGGGGGGGGGCTAAGAGACACAGAAAGCATCAAAATTGATGCATTTCTCCTTATGGAAGGAATATAAGAAAATGGGGGAGGGGACAGGATGACAAGCTTTTTAACATCTAATCACAGTGCACATTTCTGCTAGGGCCCTCCAGTCCCAACAGGCTACAGGATGGTACACTTTTACGAACTCTCTCTCCCAAAAGCAGAAATGCTAAGGATATTTTGATGGAGTCTGTGGAACCTGGAAGTATATTAACATTGGGAGGTTTGATGGAAAGTGTTAACTGTTCAAGAAGTTGCTTTTCTTGACGACTACAATTAGATGTTCAAGCAGCTAATCGTCTGAATCCTCCTGCCAACATGGCCCCTGGGGAGTCATGATGCAAAAAAGTAACTTTCCACACTCTGTCCTTCTCTATGCAATACATTGAACACCTATTTCTGACTCCTTGCACTTTTTGCGACCATGATGCAAATGGGGTAGAAAACAAAAAAAAGTCAAAGGCTGCAGGCATAACAGGTCTGCAATACATACCGTTCTCAAAGAAATTGCCAAAAACAAAAACCAACCCCTCCCCCCTGCCAAAAAATCAAAACCCCACCATCATCTGCAGACTAGCAAAGGGAATGCAACATCACTTCCTTCCAAGTATCCGGTCTCGTAGGTTGGCTGGTGCATACCACTAGCCACTAAAGAAATAAGCTACAAGCCAAGAAAATAATGTACAACCAAGAAGTGTGTTTATCTCCACTCCTCGTAAGTGTATTCTAAACAAATAAGAAGTGGTTTCATAACTGACAATAAAATGCAGAGAAAAATAAGACTTGCCACTTTAAAACCACAAGAGAAGCATATATGTGTGCTATCGGCAGTGTTAGGGGGGAAATGTTTCAAATTCTAGTAGATTCTTGATGTTGTTATAACAAAAGAAAAAAGAAAAAAAAACACTTTTCTAAATTCTCTCTTCATCTTACCATATGTCCCCGGAACCAGGCAGAGATAAGAATCTGACTGCTACGCATCTTTTGAAATGACTTGCGATATTTCCATGCCAAGAAGGTCGCTTGGATCAGGGCAACCAGCTCCTCTATTCGCCGTCGGCGTCTGCTCTCCAGATCAAAAAGCTGTGAGGGCAGGATTGGGTTAAAAATGACATATAGGATGAGATCTGAGCACACAGAAAATTCACTTTAGTCACAATAAACTCTACTCTTGATGTTTCTTCAAACTTCTACTGTAAATGGAGTTAAGAGATTAAGAACAGGTTGATTACCTGTAACCATGATGTTTCAGTGCTCACATGGTCTCAACTCATGTCAATCATGCATCTGCACAGAGCTACATCTGAATTTTTAAAGTACTTGTTAAAGCTTTAGAAAGGAACCCAACTCCATCTGTCATTACACAAACAAATGTAGATGTATATCAGCTGCACCTAAGAAATTCCTGTAAATATTATCAATGCTGCACCTTCCGTGCTGTACTAGAAGACAAAGTGTGGTATGCCAGAAATCAGCACATTTGTTCAGCTTGTGGTGCATTTCAGAGAAATCCATGTGTTCATTTTAAAATGTGAATGATCAAACTATGTATAATTGAAAAATAAGCATGAATGCCCATTAATCAACAGGGGGAAAACAGATAAAATCATTTGTTAGGAAATATGCATGTGAATTACCATGTGCGAAGCCTCACAAGCTGATGGGAACAAAAGATGGGGAAAGAATGCAGGTGGGACTCACAGGAACTGAACAAATTTGAGACTACAAGTTTTCATATTCCTCTCTGTGAATAGATTTATTTAATGTAAATCAATGAATTTGCAAAGAATCAGGAGCGGTGGTCCTTGCATTTCTCCACTTTTTAGCTGTAAAATGTGACCTAGAATGTAGTGAATTTTTTTATATCTAGTCAGTATTAAATATTGATAACGCAAATGTGTATAATCATACTTTTAATACCACAAGCATCAAGAACTGGAGATATTCACTATTTATTTTTACCAGCATCAAATATGCTTTTGCTGGCCCAAAATCTTTCCACATTCCTTTCAGAAATATTTATTAAAATTATCCTTACTTTAATTATTGCTTAAAGATTAGCATCACAGCAGCAGACGTCTGGGACCTAAGTGATGCCTGGCAGAAAAAGGGTAAAGCTCTGCCCAGTGTCAATATTTTTCGTTAAAAGATTCAGCCCCACTGTAATTGCAACCTTCCACCAGCAAATACTCAATGTAGAACTAGAAGCAATCTCTTTATTTCCCCCTCACTTTTGGAAATCGAACTAATAGGCATAAGATTTTAGATATTTTGGACTACGGATCCCATAATTCTCCATTCTGTGAGTTCCATCTGACATATAGATACCTATGGACACCTAAATGTGGTTCATCTGGGAAAAGGCCTAAGCTAGAAAGCTCTGTGACCTGGCTAGGCTTAGCTCCTCCTAGCTTCCTGTAAACAAGACAGGAGCATCCTTCCTAAAGACGTCGATGTTCTGTACAGTGGGGTCTTGACTTAAGAACAGCTCGAGTTAAGAACATTTTGACTTAAGAACCGCTCTCATAGGAAAATATTGACTTGACTTACATACTTAGATTTGAGTTAAGAACTGAAAAAAAACCACGTGGGAGGCAGGGAAAGTGCAAAATTTGAACTTTCAGTTAACTGTTGGCCAGTGAAAAGGGTGCCTGTCTGCTTCCTCACTCCTCCCAACATTTAGAGAGTGGATTGGGAGTCTTCCAACTGCCTGGTACTGCCTGGACTGTATTTTCCCTGCCTTCCCTGAACCTTTCTTGACCTAAGAAAAAAAGAAACAAAATATCCCCCCCTAGTAGTCGAAGGCAGAATAGCAGCTTCCCATTAGTTTCTATGGACGGAAAAGAGCAGATACGGATCAAATGGTTCTCAATGCATTCCTATGGGAAATGCAGATTTGACCTGAGAACTTTTTGACTTGAGAACCGCCTTCCAATACGGATTAAGTTCTCAAGTCAAGACCCCACTGTAAGTGTTTGTAGGTCAGGCGGAACTCCCAAAATGGAGAATTATGAGGTTTGGGCTCGAAACAAATCTGAAAATCCCATGCCTATTAATCAACACACTCACTTCCTTGGTTGGCTCCATCTTACCGTGCGTGGTGTTCGGATGAAAATCTTCGTGTTTCCATACGCCACCTCTTTGGGGTCAATGGACAGACTGCTTAAGAGGACTTGAACCCCATCTCTGCACCAATAAAGAAATTACAGAAAAGAAACCAAAGATTACCTAGCTTGAATTTGGAATGTAGTAATGTGCTTTACATGGTACTTACTGCCTTTGGAAAGTCCTTGTAAACGTGAGCAGGTCCAGGGTGCTGCAGCTGGACTCCTGATCAGAACTGGTTATAGGCAGAAATTCCCTGATCCAGCTGTTTTGCTGGGTACCTGTCTATTTCTGGGTGCAATATAAAGTACTGGTTTTGACCTATAAAGTCCTAAGCAACTTGGATCTCCCCATATGAGCTTCCCTGGGCTTTAACATCTTTAAGGGAGACTTTTCCCCCTTGGTCCCACCATCTTACAGGCACAATTGTTGTGGAAACAAGAGAAGGCCTTTTGAGCCACTGCCCTCATGGCTATGAAACTCCCTTCCCCAGGAGATAAGATTGGTCCCTTTCCTGTGGTCACTCTGCCAGCAAGTAAAAACTTTTTTCTTTTCCTTTCCTGGAGGCTTTTAATTGCTGGGAAGGAAGGAAGTTTTAATGGATCAGCTGCATCTTTTAAAGTGTGTCCTTCAATTCTTTTAAGTGGGATTTATTCAGTACTTTCTAATCTAATGATTTTCTAATTACTGAAATATATATTGTTTTAGTTCTTTTAATACTTGTTTTTTGAAATTCTTTGTAAGTTACTTTGGGTCTTTCTGTTGAGAGAAAGACAGGTTATAAATAAACAAACAAGCAAACAAGTAAATAAATGTGTGTGCATGTTTTCTGTGCTGTCAAGTCAGAGTCAACTGATCATGAGCCAAATCAGGCTTTCAATATAAGTGAGATATTAAAGGAGTGGTTTTACCAGTCCCACACCCCCAGGGAGTTTCCATGACCCAGGAGGCATGTGAAAAAATCTTACTGCAGCATTAAAAATAAATAAATAAATAATTGTAACCAAAACCTTTCTTTTCTTTCCTGGAGGCTTTTAATAGGTAAAATGCTGGGAAGGAAGACATTTTAATGGGTCAGTTGCATCTTTTAAAGTGTGTCCTTCAATTCTTTTAAGTGGGATTTATTCAGTACTTTCTAATCTAATGATTTTCTAATTACTGAAATATATATTGTTTTAGTTCTTTTAATACTTGTTTTTTGAAATTCTTTGTAAGTTACTTTGGGTCTTTCTGTTGAGAGAAAGACAGGTTATAAATAAACAAACAAGCAAACAAGTAAATAAATGTGTGTGCATGTTTTCTGTGCCGTCAAGTCGGAGTCAACTGATCATGAGCCAAATCAGGCTTTCAATATAAGTGAGATATTAAAGGAGTGGTTTTACCAGTCCCACTCCCCCAGGGAGTTTCCATGACCCAGGAGGCATTTGAACCCTGTCACCGCCCTACACCACACTAGGAATGAGATGCATACATGCATATGTATACATATGGAGGCATACATATGCAAATATTTATATATGTAAATACATACTGTACATACATACATACACACACATACACACACACACACACATACACAGCATTAAAAATAAATAAATAAATTATTGTAACTAATGCAATCAGTAATAGGTTCACTCTTATTTGGCCTGCTAGCAAGCTCAGCATTGCTAACCCCCTGCATGTTACAACCCACTGAGCATTCTGTTGAT